AAAAAAAAAAAAAAAAGAAAGAAAGATTGCTTACCACTAAATTAGCTTTGAAAATGATAAGATCAAAAAAACAAAAAAAGTTTTTTTTCTACCCTTTAATTTACGTAAATCATTAAATAGAGTGAATTCTTTTAGTGCTGCCGCAAAAAACGTTATGCCAAAAATTTACACTCTAGAAAAAGCGTTGAAATAGTTAGACAAAAAATTTTTTTAAAAGCAGAAATGCAGCCCTGTTTGAACCTATTCTCCTTTTTTTCTGCACTTTTCTTAACAAATCAACAAACTACAATTTTTTTAATACAATGTTAAACAATAAATATTTCCTTTTTGCTAACTTTAAAAAGCATTTAGTTTCCAAATTACAAAAATTTATTGCACCTGTATACACCAAACACATCAAAACAGTTCTCTGTCTAAACATAAACTGACTAGAACACCATAAAGCAAGCTTAACTGATCTTCGACTAATCCAAGAATTGAAATTGAAAAAATTCTACGTATTCTAATTGACCGTAATCTGTTTTTCTTTTTTCTGTTTCTCCAGACCTTTCTCCTCCGTTTATTACTGATCGCGGTCCCAAATTTGTACTTTTCCTTCTCCCTTATTATTCTCCTCGCCTCTCCTTCCCTTTCTCGGGTTTCCAAAATTCATTGACTACTTCTTCTCAACTACAGAAAAAGTGTAACAGGTACATTTGACATAAATTTTTTCTTTTCTTACAGTCGCTACTATTCCCGTGCTGATTCCTTGCATCTTTTGCAAATTTTAGATAAAAAACTTAATACTTTTAAATTCGTCTAGTCAACCAACAGACGTAGTAGAAGTACCCAAAAAATAAAAAAACGTCGTTTTCACCACAGTAAAGCAACCATTTTCTAAAAATCAAAAAGCGCAACCGAACCAAACAGTGATATAGAACTGACCTTTAGACAATCTTCATGCCACAATTTATCAAGAGCTTTGAGCATAAAACGATCGTAGATATGCAGCGAACATGCGGCACATACAGCTTCCATTAATTACCGATTACTGCTGTACATTGAAGCTTAATTTTGTAGATTTTCTTCCTTTTCTTCTTCGTTTTCTTTGCTGTCGTTCTTCTCTTTTCTTCCTTTACCTTCTTCTGCTGCTTTTCCTCCTTTTCTCTTCTTATTTTGCTGTTGCTGTTAGATGAAAGTTTAATTGTTTCATATACGTAAAGTTGTAAGACTGTTCCTTTCTTGATTTTCTTCTCTCCCAGTTTTGCCTTATTTTGAAAGCTTTCAGAATTGCTGACCCAGAAACAGACAATTTGAAATGGATGAAGAACAGGAAGAGAAATAGTAAAGTCCCTTTCTTTTTTGTTCTTTTGAAGCCTCCTTAAACAATGGTAAATACTGTTTATATTGCTATTTCAAATGCAATAGAAAAAACTTTCCGACAACTTTGCTGAGTGAATAAGTGCAGAAAAAAAAGATAAGAAGAATAGAAATAAGAAATAATTGTTTTTTTATTTTTTTGCGAGCTAGGAAAGATAATTTAGATAATCTTAATTGTAATCAAAATTCTAAATTTTGCTAATGCTACTCGGTAGCAATAACATATCAGAACAAAAAAAACGGCAGTTCTTAAGAGAAGCATAAGTACAGTCACTATGTGCATAACAGCACCAACTTATTACAGGTACATATCCGGTATATGTGTGTGTATATTTATCTGTAGAAACAGCACATCTTGATGTATTTGAGGAAAGATTCTAATATATTTTTCTTGCAACAAATATATAAATAAAAAAAAACTTAAAAAAGAGCTGCGATTTAGAAACTAAACGGTTATTACAAAACAAATTTTAATAAATTTTTTTGTAACAAATATCCACAAAAGAACAGTTAAAAAGTCGTGACTTAGAAGCTATGTTTTTATCACGGAATAAACTTAGTTACAACCAAAAAATCAACTTTTTTTTGCCTCTTTGAGCATTATATTTGGGATGTTATTTGGTAGAGGCCTTACTGCTGTATTCTGTTGTTGCTGTTATGATTGTTGATTTTGTCATTGTCGGTGCCGTTCAAGGAAAAAAATGGAGTAGAAAAAAAGCAGGACGCATACGTAAGTTATTGTTAGGTAACCATCTGTACGCTGTTTTGTCGAACATTGATGCAGACTAGCAATGAAACATTCCAAAATGCATCAAAAAACTATTACTGAACAAGAAGTGTATGTAAAGCTTTAAATAATATTAATAATGATTTCAGTTTTCCCAAATAATATTGAACTCCTTTTTTTTTTTGGCTTTCAAATCTCAATAATGCAAATCTTTGTCTATTTGAAGAGTCTGGACAACAAGCGGTAGTAGCAGTAGCAGCGACAACAGTGGCAGTACCAGAAGTAGTAAAAGCAAGGGAAGTGGCAACAATGGCAATAGCAGCAGCAACAAAAATAGCAGCAATAGAAGGAGGAACGAAAACATTGCGGTAGCAACCCTCAGCAGCAGCAATAACAATCAAACAAACCAAAGCAACTGCCTGTTTGTGAAAAGTTGAAAAAGTTAGAAGTTCAAAACCAATGAATTATTATCATCACCTACCACTGC